GGTGTCAGTGTCTGTGCCTGTGTGTGTGGGGCTGGGGGGCGCTGCTGTGGGCAGAGTGAGGGGCACCAGCAGGGCTGAGGTGGCAGTGGGGGAGAGTGAGGGGCACCAGCAGCACCGGTGGGGGGGTGTTAATTTTAATCACAGATTTCAAGTTCTTTTATCAGAGAATCTGCAATTCTTTGTCAGAGAATTTGCGATTTTTTTTAATCAGGGAAAACCAGGATCCCTGGTGATGTTATAGCTGTGATGGTCCAGAAATTAGGCAAGACAAGGATTTCTTAGTGTGATATCTTTTACTGGACCGACTATGTAGTTGGGATAAAGTTAGACAAGCCTGCAAATATAAAACATTCTTCCTTCAACCTCTTAACAGTCGCATGCTTGTTTAATTTTATCCCACTTACATAGTTGGTCTATTAAAAGATATCAGCCTAAAAAATTCTTACCTCTCAAAATGCCACAACACTTGCATTGCTACAAAAGTATTCCGTTCACAGTCTCAGTAACAAAATCATCATCTCTTCTGCTAAGATGCAAAGTTGTAAACAGAGCTTTTGCTTCTCTACAGTTGCTGCTGGTGATATTGGAAATAGTGGACTGTGGCTACTGAAATACTCAGAATAAATTTTAAATGAAAAATTTAAGTAACAAAATAAATATGTAAAGCAGACTATTATTCAACCAGGGAGCAGGACAAAGAAATTTAGGCCTTTGATGGGATTTGATAGCCTGCTGCATTTTGGCCCATTTTGGATTGTGCTGATCGAAGTAGCATCTTCAATCATGTACAGAAGCTGGTGGTTTTATTTCCTACAACACATTTACCTTTCAGTGCTGCTAGATACTTCCATTGCAACTTCCTTATATGTCATCAGTTTCTTTTGAAGGGCAGATGCAACATCCTTAAGAAGAGAAGCCTTGTGCTTTCCTGTTTGAAATATGATTGGTTGAAAAATCAACATAGCTGATTTAGCAATACATCAAATTTCAACAACTAGAAAAAAAAAGTTTTCACATTAGGCTTTATAATAAAACTTAGCTTTAATATATGTGCCACACAGAAGACACCTTTACTGGAGGAAAAATGTAGCTGACTGACCTTTGATTACAACAATTATGGATGCTGCAGCTGCAAGACTAACAATTCCTTCAATTTCTTCAGAGACAATGCACTCCATTAATTCATTTAAAAATGACCTAAAAGAAAATCAAGCACACGTGGTGAGATGTGTTCGCTGAAATATGCAAATAGGACACACGTGCACACGCCATAGTAACCTTCAAAGATATCCCATGACACAACACCATGGTTTCCAAAGATTCAACATAAGTATGGAAATCTGAAATGTTCTTAAAGTACGTTGTTTATTGTCTGATATCTAGAGCTACAGAGTCACACTGCCAAATTTCAGAAGCAGCAAAGTATCCTGTGCAATGATGGCTCTTTAGGAAAAAGCAAAAGAACGTAGGTAAAATAATTGTGTATGAACATAAGTGGCAATACCAAAGATGCAGAGTTTTCATTGCATTTGCGAAGAAAAACCTTAAAAAGAAAAATAACAGCTCTAAAAACAAACTGGAATTTTAACTCAGTGTAACTGTCCATTTCTAGTGAGGTTTAACAAGTGGTCTCATGGCAGCAGCAGGTTAGCCATTAGCAACTACACAAACGCTTTAAAATCTAGAGTAGAATCTGTCTTTTAATTAAGGAAAGGTTTGGTTTAAAATTTGAATTGTATGGAAAGCTAAGTAGGAGCTTTCTCTCTTTTTACATGGAAATGAAATCAACTGATGAACAAATACATACGTGCCCTGCACCATCTGCAACCCAGAGGTTAGTGCAGTGAGAATCCAAAGGGAACCTACTGAAATTGAAACTGATTTAAAATTCTAATATTATAAAAGCCTAAGTCTGTCTGTAACGCTGTATTCACGCTCTGAATGGCTGACAGAAACAGTCAGAGTGCTCCAAGCATGAAGGAGTGCCGCCATGATTCTAAAGCAGCACCGAGGCCCAGACAGCGGTGTGGGGGAGGCGAGGCCAGCAGTGCTGGCCTTGGCTCCCCCACCCTGCTCCCTGCAAGAGGCAGCATGGGGCATTAGGTGGTGGCACTCCATCCCAGCCCCGCCTCCCCTCCAGTCATTCTTGACAGGCAATTGGCTAGTTGTTCATAATGGTGCAGATTGGAAAATAAATAAATGTATTATGAAAAGTAAACTGGATTATTAAAAAACTGGGTTTTAATAGGAAATGGTAATATTATGAACATAGGTAATAGAATGATATTAATATAATTAGGTATTTAAATACCTATTGTTCCATTAAGCACAAAGGAAACTAGGGAAAATACAGGATTATTAAGAGCCAGACTGGACTGAGCAAGGGGAAAGGGAAGAAGCATCAGGGAGCAGATGCAGTCCTTTGGCTTTCCAGAGCATAGACACTATTCTTTTATTGTCAACATGTGTCTGTGTAAATTTACTCTTGCCTTAAAGGGGCAATTGAGAGCTCCTTACCATTCTGTATGAACATGAGCAATCCAGTCAGGGGAGAACCAATTATATACGTCACTCAGTAAATGGAAACAGTAAATGAGCTCCAAAAGGTGAGAAATGAACTATGCCCACTTCAGTTTCCATGGTTAGTGCTTGCATGAAATCAGTCATGTGATGTGAAACCTGTGTTTACTTAATGATTTCATCAATTGTTAATTCTGTTCCATATGGTTGTTAACTGCTGACTCCATTTCAATTGCAACCTTGATCTGAAGACACTTTAATTTCAGTCAGTTGGGTAAGAGTTCTACTAGTCAGTTTCAATGAAAAGTTAACTGATTTTATTTTTATTAACGTGTAATAAAATTCCCAAAAAGCACATGGATGTCTTTTTTCTAACAAAACAGCAACCAGGGTTACATAATCTCATGGGCACAAGAATACTAATATTTAAGTTGGACATCAGGAGGCGCTACTTCATGGTCAGGGCGGCTAGAGTCTGGAACCAGCTTCCAAGTGAGGTGGTGCAGGCTCCCACCCTGGGGGTTTTTAAGAGCAGGTTGGATGACCACCTTACTGGGGTCGTTTGACCCCAGTGCTCTTCCTGCCATGGCAGGGGGTCGGACTAGATGATCTGCTCAGGTCCCTTCCGACCCTAGAAACTATGAAACTATGGTATATCAAGCTATTTGACTATGTCCTAATTAATACCTATGCCCTTCATATAGATGAAGTTGATTTCTGAGGACAGTAGTTTCCCAATGAAAAACTAAGGATATAGAAAGTCTGGTTAGATACTATCCAGTTGCCCAGTACCATGAACAGGATTAGAAAGCAAACACCACAATTCTGGGGCTGTTTAAACTTATCTGGATATGGTTCAATACCACCAAGTATGGTGCAGGGCACTCTGGCATTCATGCTGGGAGCTCTGCACTTTGCGTCAAGTTCTCCAATACCAGAAGCTTTAGTATGAGTGTAGGAAACTGACAGTAGAGCCTGCTGAGGAACTGCAAGCTTTTGACTCTAGAAAGAAAATAAGTAGTGCCAATAAGTCTTTACATAGTGCCCGGGGTGTTTGGTTCTTCAGTCCTGAGGCATCAGCAGACCTCAACCTGTACCCTGAAATGTCTGTTAAATGTAGATCCACTTGGTACTGGACAGGGAAATGCAAATACAGAAACTACAAGAATGAAATTCTTTCCTTCCTCTCTTCTCAGAGGATAAAAGTGAAAGTGGTACAGAAGCTCTGGACTATGCCATTTACCACAGTACTTACACAGGCAGATCTAATGTAGCAGTCTTAACCCTCTCTGAAATTGTTACAATATTCCTGAACTTCTAAAAGCTTTATAAGGGATTCACTCACTCTTCCGATCCTTTTGAAAAAGCCTCAGCACAGAGCACTGATGTGATATACGTACTTCACAGAAGAAGGAGAGACACTTAAAATGTCAACCACTGTTGGGAAGAGCTGCCTCACAGGAGGGCCAACAGAGACTTTGACTCCATTATGGCCTGGTGATAGTGCTGGGGCATTTCCTAACTTGACAGCATCTCTTTTTTACTTGCCAAAAAACAAACTATATAAATCTGATTACCCCACTAACTAGAACACTAATTAGAGATAAAACAATCTTGTAGTGTACAGGGACATGAATTTTGCAGGTGTTCCATGTCAGGTGTATGTGCTACAAATGGAGGAAGGAACGCAAGGGCTTTAATTGTCCCACTCTAGCCACAGACACAGTGGCACTCAAACATCCACTCCCACTGCTGCAGTGGTACAATCTCCCAGGTATACATGGGATTTGAAGCAGCTTAAGTGGGAGGCTAGATGGCTAGAGCACAGGTGGTTCTCAACCCATGCCGAAGCAGTGGCATAGATTTTTAAAGGCCCATGGTGTGACAGTGGCAAATAAGCTTTTTTCCTCTATTGCCACTGCAACCGTAATAGTGGACCAGTATCTCCAAAGTGTCCTCCTGTGAAAGGGTTCTGGGTGGTGAATGCTCTGGTTAATCCAACTTGTTATCACCTACTAACAATCTTCTTCATTCTGCTGTGATGAGTTTGTTACCTACTTTGCAAGCAAAATCGCCCATGTTCAGTATGCCTTGGAGACCACCACTTTTGCAGCAGGCAAAGTTCAGAGCTGAAGAAACTCAGTCATGTCCTGTGTGTATGGATTGTTTTAAATTGCTATCACTCACTGATGCACAGGACGTGGGGATGAGGGCAACCAGTTGTGAACGAGACCCATGACAATCTTGGCTTCTAAAAGCCAGCTGGAGGAGACTGGTGTCATTGCTGCAGTGGGTAAGGTGCCTGAAGTTCTTAAGTCTGTGATTGTCCAAGCCCCTACTTATTTGATATCGACTTCCCAGCCAGTTATCACCTCATCTCCAAGGCTTGTAGCCTTGGCCAAGCATCTTACCCTGAACGTTGACTGGGGAAATTGTGCCTTTCTGATTTTACTAGATCTTATAGTGGTCTTTGATACAGCTGACCACGACATGCCAAAACAGCAATTACATGACCTGGTGAGTATCTACAGGACTGCTTTAAATTGGTTCTGCTCTTTCCTAGCAGGGAGGTCCCAGAGGGTAGTGATAGGCATTCACTTATCATCCCTTCGTGACTTTCCTAGTAGGGATCTCTCAGGGCTTCATCTTGTTGCCCCTCCTGTTCAACATGTATGAGGTCACTGGATGAGACTGTAAAGAGTTTTGGAGTGAGATGCCATCAGTATGCTGATAACACCCACCTGTCCCTCTTTCTCCTCGGTCCCATGCCCCACAGTTCCTGTCCTTTCCCACTGGCAGGCTGATACAGGTGAACCAAATGAAACTGAATCGAAACAAGACAGAGAAGATGGGTGGGTAAAACACTTGACTTTCGGAGAGATTAGGATACCTTTCATTAATGGGGTTCAGTCTCCCCTTGTCACTCCAGTTCACAGCACTGGGGTGCTCTTGAATATACTACTGCACCGCACCTGGATACCCAACATCTGGTGAGAAGGCTGTGACCCTTTCTTTCTGAGAGATCTGGCCATCATCATCCATGCTTTTGTCACCTTAAAGCTAGACTACTGCAACGTGTTCTATGTAGGGCTGCCCTTGATGACTATCTGGAAGCTGCACCTTCTGAAGACCGAAGCCCATTCCAGTGCTCCAGTCTTCACTGGCTCCGAGTAGCTTTCCAGGAGCCATTCAAAGTGCTGGTTTTAACCTGTAAGGCCCTAAACAGCATTGGCCCTACATACCAAAAGGGACTGCCTTCTTTCTTATGCCCCATTATGATCCCTAAAGCAAACTGAGGGCAACCTCCATGCAAATACCAGCAGGACACCAAGACTGCTTGGTGAAAGCATGTGGGAGGTCATTCTCAGCAGTCACTCCTCAGCTTTGGAACTCTCTGCCTCTTGAGGCTCACCAGAGCCCTAGCCTAGACATCTTTTGAAAGCACTGTAAAGCCTTCCTATTTGGCCTGCCATTTAGCAAACAAAGCTAGGCTTAGGATATTGTTCAGGGGCGGTCTCTGTCTTACACGTAGTCATTCTCCTGTTTTATAAGTGTTCTGTTTCTCTTGCTATAAGCCACCCTGAACCTTGTTGGGTTCAGGGCAGCATATAAAATTGAATAAGTAAATAAACAGTCACTAGTGACCTAACAGGGAACTAACATGGCCCCCAAAGAAACTGTTTAAAAAAAGATATGGACCGTGTACACATAGATTATAAACATGCCAAAACTGGCAAGGGTGTGAACAGGCACTCAAAAAAGAAAAGTTATGTTATGAATGATGAAAATAAGAAAAAAAGTCAAAAAGCAACTATGACTATTTTGGTGCAGATTCATAATGCCTACTATGTTGTTAAACTGTATGCTTCTTTATGTATTTTAAGTGCTATAGAAAAGTTTCAGGAAAACTGCAAAGTGAAAATTGAGCTGTTTTTAGGATATGCTAAAATACCTTAAAATCAGCGATGACCAACCTGGGGCATATATGCCACAAGTGGTACAGGCAGTCTCTGTGTGTGGTACAGGGCAGGTCAGGGGGTGCGCAAGGGGAGGGGGGAATGGGACAGGCAGCACAGTGGCAGATAGGGCAGTATGCAGAAAGCAGAGCAGCAGATCAGGCCAGGGAATGGGATTAGAATGGCACTTGGGACTCCTTATACAAGCATAATACGCAAAGGAAAATAAATTAATGCAAACAATGTATACAGTTTATGGCATATTACATGTGAATTTAGTACGCAATTTAATTATCGTGTAATTGCTCGAACTGAATCTAAGGCTGTTGGCTGACATTCATTTAGAGGCATGATGGGGTTGCACCTCCTGCCATGTCATATATGCATGAGGAGCCCAGAATCATGCACCAGCAGAGCCTGGGATCGTGCACCAGCAAATTGAAAGTCAGGTGCCTGACAATCAGCTGATCGTTGGCTGGGGCCAGGGGCTGATCCAGGGTTTGGAACCAGCCCCTGCTGCATGGACAATCAGCTGACTGTTGAGACCCCCATACTCATCAGCTCTGGCCAGGCTGCTGGGCAAGGGGTATCAAAAACCTCGCAGCAGGGGGAGCTGAAGGTCTTCCCTTGCTGAAGACATTAATAAACGGTTCAGGGTTTTTTGGTGTGTTGTTTTTTTTTTTTTTTTACCCAGCACAGTGCACAGAGGCCTCCAGATTGGGCTGCCACTTTCCAGTCCTAGGGCCCCAGGCACCAGCTGATCTACACAGTGTTTTTTATAAGTCTCAGGAGATGGGGACCCCGGTACTGGGGAGTCTCTCTCAGATGCTGGGACCTTTAAAAGCCACATACGCAACTGGGCTGTACACATGGTTTTTTCCAGTGCATCTCCAGTACACAGAGACTGGGGTCCCAGGATGTCTGAAAACCACCTATGCAGCTGGGCTGTGCATGCAGATTTTAGGGGTCCTTGAATGCTGGTACTCTGAGATCAGTCTCCTCGATCCCAGGGATTCTGTGAAATAGGGATGTCAGAAAACTGTATGCAGCTCAGTTGTACATGCAGCTTTTAAAAATCTGGGATACAGTGGGCCCATGATCAAGGAAATCAAGGAGTGTTTCAGACTCATGAAGCACTCTAAACTGCCTCTAGTGACTGGGTGGGGAACCGGTTCTGCTCTCAACCCAAGTGGGTAGGGGACAACCGTGTCCTGCACCCTAGAGCTGCTGTGTGCTGGAAGTCAACATGAAGTTGAGCGCTGTGATCTGTCATGGATCAACCCCAACTTGCCATACATTCAATTTAAGATATTATACAAATGACCCACAAAGATTTTACGAAGATGGTACAAAGATTATATATGGAAAAACATTGTGGCTCATTTACCGTACCATCACACCATAAATTTAATTGAACGTGCAGCTGGGTTACTATTTAAAGCATGATTAACAGGTTAATCACATCTTAAATGCACCATGAGCTGGGGACCTCAGAATCACAGTTCCATTGGCAATGCTGCTAATTTCACATCAATAACTTTGCAGAAAGTAATGGAAAAAACATTTACCTGACAACATTTGTTGACTTTATTATTATCGCCATTAAACTGTTAGAAAGAGGAGGAAGATCTGAAATGGTTCCTGGTGAAGTAAATTCTTCTTCATTTGAAGCCTGAAAAGAAGACCATTCAAATGCAAAATAAACACCAAAGTACAAAGAAGATATCCAGACAAATAAGAATTTGGAGTAAATATTAAGTGAATATTGTCTTACTATTATTAAAAGGAACATATGCATTTTTCTTGTACTTTTAAGGAAAATACTGGACAGATGTTAAATCTAAGTGAGTAGCATCACCATAAGCAAAGCAAAGTTCAGCTAGGAAGATAAAAACTTAAGCAAATACACTGCAAATTGAAAGGAAATGATTTGTCATATGCAGCTAATCTAAAATAAAGTTGACATTTAACTAAACTGTTAGTTAGTACTTATAAGGGTATGAACCCACCCACATAAAACATGTTACATAAAATAATTCCCACTATGTCCTTAAATATAAGTACGAGTTTTTATAACCTCAAATACAGTGTTTTCCTAGTTCACTGCATATCCTCCTACTGGTGACATATTTTAAACAACACAAACCTTTTTTTTTTAAAACTAGCTGCTAACCTGGTAGGTTAAAACAAAAATGCTTAGTAATATTGTGCAAACAGACCTATGGATGATTAACCCCATTCACAAAAGGGGTTCAGAAAACAGAATTCTTGATTGTAGTCCATTAAAAACTGCCTGCTTACATGGTTTGCTACATTTTGCAGCCCTCACATAGAGTCTACTATTAGGTAAACTCATCAATTAACAAAACCAATTAAGCTGTCTGGTATTGGTGATGTGGTGAAGCGATAAATGAACCTTACTGAGCTTCCCCCATTTGTTTATACTGAACAGTGATTCCCAGAGGGTGTGCTGCAGCATACTAGTGTGCCATGAGTAACTGAAGTGTGCTGTCAAGCGTATGCACAGGTGGAGTCACTCTTTCCTAACACTCCAGGGACTGGCAGGAGAAGCCACTGGGCCAGCTCCTTGCATGTAAGATCCTGCAGAAGCAGCCTCAGAAGTGGGGTGATACTGCTGTCCCGAGGAACAGAACATGGGTTGGGAGGGGGGCAGACAGTGGAAAGAGCAGGGCAGAGCAGGGTGAAGTCCTGCCCAGCCACCCTTAAATGGCACCAACTAGGTAGCGATTCTCAACTTTTTTAGACAACCCCTGCCATATCTTTTCTTCATTTAGATCTAATCTCAGTGATTTTCAGCTGGGGTGCTGCAAAATTTGGAAAAGGTGTGGAGTGGGAAAGGCCTTGAGGCTAAAAATGTTCAGAACCACTGGTATACAGATTAATCTGTTGCTTAGAGAAAGACGTATTTGGCATCATTTTTAACAGTACACTTCAGCATCGGTATGATGTCTCTACCAGGGGGCTAGAATGTGTAATATAATTTTGAAAAAATATCAGCCCTCCACCACCTTTTTGGGAATAAGAGTGAAATATACCCCACGTATCAAAAGTTTGGGAAATGCTGATACAGAATGTGGCTACAGCCATGTCCTTATTTGTACTCTAGAAACCTTGAGTCACTGGCAGAAATTCTATATCGAATTAGTAAATCACTGAGTTCTAACACATTAGGCATAGTCAAGTTTCCTTGTGGGTTCATAAATCATGGGGCTGATGATGGTTCAGGTGTTCTCCCACCTTAAAAGAAGCATGTGCAAACAAAGACATTGCGAGAAAAGTTCATCTTTCCATATCTAATCTGGATCTTTCAACTAATTCAATAGATAACTGGTTTCAGATGGGACCTGCAGTCCCAGTCTATCTAGTATCTGTTGTATGCAACTTCTGCATACAACAAAAACA